TACGCACGGTGGCCCAGCTAAAGCGCAACATCAAGATTGTACTCAAGAGTGACGCGCAACAAGTAAAAATTCGCTCGTTTGAGGCCATGCTGCTCGTCATCGACGCGAGCTACCACGGCACGAACGACGTGATTGAGTTCTTGCAAGAACTCGTCAACTATGTTGCGAGAAACATTGCCGCAGACAAGCTCGTCGCGCTCATTTTATTCCTACGAGGCAAGTCGGCCGGTCTGCTCGCCGCCCAGCCGTCGCGAAAAACTATTGAAGCGTTTGCCTCGCTCTGCGCGCAGCTGTTTAGCAAAGTAGACGACTCGCGAGTGGCCATTCCGCGCATGTGCGAACTCGTAGAGCAAATTATCGACCACAACAACGGGGAGTTCGTGCCGGTGCTTGTGCAGCAACGCGTGCTTGGCGCGGTTGGCGCGTGTCTTTCGAAAATCTGTTTGTGGCGCGAGGTGCTCGTAGCGCTCTTCTCGCTTATCAAGAAATTCCTGAGTTACAAAAACGACGAGGTAGTTGACTTCATTGTTAAGAACAACATGATGGACGAGTTGAAGTTCGCCTCGGAAAAACACCGCAACTCCAATGAGCTGCAGTCGCTGCTGCTCTATATCTCGTTCAAGGTGATGCCAGACAAGTTCCTTGAGGACCATGCGCGAAAGCTCGTGCTGCAAGCGATGGCCCACCTCGATGCCATGAAGGTGGACGAAGCCGTCTGCTGCGTCGACAATATCCGCATGCTTGTGCGCGAGTACGACTGCACTCGTATTTCGACCAGCATCAAACTCGACCAACTCTTCAGCCAGCTGCTGAATTGCTGCGAGTCCACGACCTATTACCGGCATTGGAAAACGCTGGTCGCTAGCTTCGCGCAGCTGTTGCGCGTGTGTGTAAAACTCCCCGGCCTGATCACCGAGCTCTTCTCGAAAAACGCGCTCTTCACGAAAGTTGCGGACATCATCTGCAACCTCATTCGCTGCTCTGAGCCCCTATTCATTCCCGAGATCAGCGAGCTGATGCGAACTTGTATCGTCGTTGTGCAGCAGAAGCCCTCGTACTTGCAGTACCTGGAGCACGCGCTGCCTGACATTCTGAAACACATTCTGAACACGCAGTACAACGAAGAAGTATGCGAGACCGCCATTTCGTTGCTGCTGCTCTTCGGCACCGACTTTCTGCTGAAAAACGAAGAGTTCCAGGCGTTCATCGACTCGCTTCTCGCCACCAGCAAGGACCACGTGAACGAAAAGATCTTCAGCGCGCTGCACTGCATTCGTTGCTTGCTAGTGAATGAGTACTTCATTAAGTACTTTAAGGAGTGCGGCGTCGAGTCACGCACGTACGAGCTGCTCGACCCTGCCCGCCAATACTTCGGAGTAGTAACGAAGATGCTGCTGGCGTTTAACGCGGTCGCGCACCCCATTCCGCAGGAGGATACCAATGCGCGGCTCGCAAGGCTATGCACCGCCGTACTAGGTAAAAAAACCACCGAGCTGCAGCTCGATCTGATGAAAATCATGTGCGCGCTAATGAAGAACAGCGCAGAGCCAATCTACTTCTACAAGAACTCGCTTTATGAAAACGCACTGTACGCTTTGTGTCGCGAGTTCCGGAACAACAGCGAGAGCAGCGCGGAGTATTTCGAGCTAATGAGCTCGCTCGAAATTGCAGACATCCTGCTGCTCTCGCTCATCCAGTTGAAAGAGTCGCTCTCGGGCATCGGCGCCACCGAAGCTGCGCAGTTCGAGCTGCGGCTTGTCATTCGCGAAATTGCAACGTACTTCTCCTTCCCAATCAAAGACCCGCAGCCGATTTACGAAAAGATCTTTGAAGTGGCCACGCTTGTGCAGACGCTGTGCCGCGACTCGCCCGAGTTTTGCGCCAACAACGTCGGGGGTTATGCGGAGCTTGTCGATTTGACGCTGCGCAACGTGCAGATTAACGACCGCAGCTTCAACGGGCTCCAGTTGGTGTGGGACGAGCAGACCAAAGAAATGTCGCGGCGCAGCTCGCTCGGCGACTGCGCAACGGTGATAGCGCGGATCGTGTCTGACGACATGGTCAAGCTGCTTTACGCGAACACGGCGGAGCGGTTCGACTCCGCGGTGCTAAAGTGTCTGATTCGCATTCTGCCGTTCGACTCGTTGAAACAGGTCGCGTGCAACGTTTTCGACGACGGCAGCTTCGTCAATTTGTGTCACCGGCGTCTTGCGAGCAGCGACACTCAACCGGAAGTACTCAAGTCGGCTATCACCTTCATCTCCGGGCTAACAAAAACCGTGCACGGCTACTACTTGAACGTGCGCTCGATCAAGACGCTGTATGGCAGCTCGGAGCACCCCATTAAGCACGTGTGCAGCCTGTGCCTCAAATTGTGCGAGGAATCAGAAGAGTTTCATGAGCCCGCTCTCGATTACCTCTTTTTCAGCATCGTCAACGAAAAGACTTTGGACGTTGTGCAAAGTTCTGGCAGTCTGATTGTCGATACGCTGGTTCAAATGGCGCCGCTCTCGACCGTAACACTGGCTTATTCGCTGAAGATTATTGCGTGCTTCATCAACGGCAACTACAACCGAGACGACGCGCTCAAGACATATAAAAGTACGCTGGACGAACTGCTAGTCAACAACAATCGAAACCTGATTCCGCACTCGCTCATTCCGAAGGTGCTGAACGCAGTGCTCGAATCGATGGTTTTGATCGGCGTAAAACAAGGCTATCAGAATCTCCCATCGACGGTTGGAGTAATTTCGCAGATTTTGGTTAAGTACGACCCTGCTATCACACAAGTCACGCGCATGCTGCAGTACTTGCAACTGCTACAGAAGAAACTCGACTCGGTGGTCACCGGCGCGCAGAAGTCGGAGTATATGGATATTATTGCTACGCTCGTTGTCTTCACCGCTAGCAAGAAGATTGACTACTACCGCAAACACAATAACGTGAACACAACAATCGCGCAGCAAATCTGCCTCGTGTTCGTTACGTGCTCCAACATTCTGCAGCTAAGCGAGTCGGACGCTGCAATTGAGCAGCTGTTTGCCGCCCTGGACATTACTCAGGCAAAGGCCAGCAGCGACGGCAACGCAATATCTTGCTTTTACATCTACAACGAGTGGAGCAAACTCGTTAATCGTGGCACGCAACTCAACAGCGTAAACTCGCCGAAAGTTTCGCAGCTGTTGCCGACACTCATCGAAAACTGCAGAAACCTGAGCGTTTCCAAGGCGAAAACTAAGATCGCGCAGCGCGAACTCGCGAACGGGCTTGCTGCTCTGTCGTTGTTGAAAAACGAAACTATCGCGCTCGACATCAATTTTGAGATGCTGCTAGAAAACACGCTGGACATCGAGCAATCGAACAGCGTGATCGACACGCTGCTCAAGATTGTCGCAAATTCGCCGGCCGCCCTCAAAAACGTGGTGCCGAAGCTTGCGTCGGTAGTCGTGTCGCTGTCGCGTTCGCTTCGCTCGTTTCAGATTCGCGACCGCTTGCTGCGGCTACAGCTGATTTTGCAGTCGAAGCTTGAATTTGACGTGTCTGCAATACAGGAGGCGTACAGCGAGCTCGAAGCTGAGACGTTTTCGAACAACTACTACATCGGCGGGCTAGACGCGTCGAAATCGCTGTACCTGGAATACGCAAAGGCGTTGATCGAACTGATTCGCCGCAACGTCGCCAAATTCAACACGAGCTCCATTTACGAAAAGACGAAGACTCTGATGCCGTTTCCGTTGCTGGTGCAAAGTGTCGACGACCTGCTGCTCGCGCTGCACGAAGCGAACCCGGCGGTCGTGAGCCAGGCAGAATGTCGCGAAGCGATCAAACAGTACGCGGATCATTACGGCTTGCTGTACCTGATCTTGAAAAACGAGCTGAACGGTTCCGCAAAGAGTGCCGCGTTGCAGCAATTCGCCGAAGAGAAGCTGTATGACTCGCTCGTCGAGTTCATGGATCGCTCATCGAAGTTCATTGTGCTGACCGCGCTGCTTATCGCCGAGAACGGCGGCGCCGAGTATTTGGTCACGGCGGGCATCGAGGCGAAACTCGAGGCAACTCTGACGGTCGCGTCGCTGGTGCCAGTTGCGCGCAACTCTGAGTTTCTCGCCTCCGTGATACAGCTCGTCGACGTTTTGCAACTCGACTCGCCGATAATAGAAAAAGCGCTCGTCAAAATTGCAGCCACTGTGCGGTGCTGCCGACTGTACGACTTCTGCGTTGCCGAAAAGTTGTTCCCTTTTATCAAGAAGAAGCAAGATTTCCGCTTTTTCTCGGAGCTGTTCAACCTTTATCCCGCGTACCGCGAGCAAACTCTTGCGCAAGTCCGAAACGTCATCCAGCAAAATCCGCTGACATTCTTGCGGAACATCTCAGGCATGCGATCAACGGTGCTGCAGTCGCTCGATCCTGGCTGTTTCGAGCTGCTCATCCAGAACGCGGAGTCGCCCTCAGTGCTCGCCGGATTGATCGGGACGCAAGTGAACTCTTTCGAAAGTTTGAAGATCCAGGAGCAGTTGTTCGCGAGTTGCGTCCGCGAGTTCCTTTCACTGCGCGAGCGCGGCGACTCGCGTGCCATCGACGTGCTGACTAGTCTCGACGCGATGACGCAGAATGCGCTAAGCTTCGGCGCTGCGCACCCTGAAGCGCTGGTCAAGTGCGTGCCGGTCATCTTGCAGCGGTTCGCGTTGGACCAGACGCTCGAAGACTCGGAACAGCCGGATGCACAACTGTCACGCGCGCTGAAAGACAGCAAGGGACTCGACTCTTGGTCGTGCGATTCGCTGGCGCACGAGCCGTACATCGCGCCGATCAGCCAGCTCGCCGGCTCTGGCTATCCAAAGCGGTTCGAGCGCATCGGGCTCAGTCGCACGATTCTCGAGGTCGTAGTGCTGCCGAGCTTCGACAGCATCTGCGACACGCAGACGCTCTGCTTCGCGGCGTACCTCAGCTGCTGCAAACTGTCCGACGACCCCCAGCTCGTGCCGCGGCTGGCCGCGCGGCTAGTCCTGTACACAGTGAGGGACACAAAGGAGCTGTTCCTGATTTGCGTGCTGCTCAGCAACGTTTACGCTGTCACCGATTTCTCACGACACCCGCTCCTCGCGCAGATAGCCGCAAAACTCGCCAAGAAAATCAGCAGCCAGATCGACGCTCTTCGCTCGAAAGACACCTCGCGCGCGGCCGACTACGTCGACGCCGTGCGCCACGCGCTTGGCCTCGTGCCCGTCTCGCACGACAATTTCTCAAAGCTTGCGCTCTGGGACTTTCCGTTGCGCGAGTACATCGCCTAGAAGATTTCGCGCAGCATGGAAAACTTGAGCATGTACAAAGTGCTGTCCGTAAGAATCTCGTTCGCGGCGAAGCCGAGGTGTTTTTTCGCGTTCACCTGCGTCGCAAGCTTCAACCGGGTTTCTGGCGTCTCGTCAGCCAGTTCGTCCTTGATCTGGTTGACGTACAGCGCAGAAAAGCGCGCGAGATTCGCCAGCTGGCTCAGGCGCGTTTTGCGCTTCTGCTCGTAACTCTCCAGACTCAGCTTCGAGTTCCACGACTTTTGCATCAGTTGGCAGAGCAGTTTTTGCGTGTCCTTCTGCGGAACTTTTTCAATCGCCAGGCTGTAGAAGTGCTTGTTGAGCCCGTGAATTAGCGTGGTAATGTTCGGCTTCACCATGTGTCCGATGTTCGAGTTCACTTGCCGAAAGTCCATGTTGAGCATCAAAAAGTCGCGCTTGATTAACCGGAAGCAGTCAATCACCACCGAGCCTTTCACAGATTGCACCGGGTCCACCACGATGCCGATCGAGCGCTTGCTCAGCTTCTCGAACGACTGCTGCGTTTGAATGTCGGTCATCGACAGCCAGCAGCCGAAGCCCGGGTGGCTGTGGTACCAGCCGACGACCGTCTCGGTGCGCCCCACGCGCGCCAGCAAGTCGAGCATGTCCGTCTGGTACACGTGGTCGATCGCCTCGACGGAGACTGTGTTGCCGCTTTGAGGCATCGAGAAAACGTCGTCCACTACGATGGTGTAGTCGTCCACGAACGAGCCCAGCATCAGACCCATCACCTCCATCGGAATGCCCGCGCGCCCGTGCCGCAGCATCTTGATTAGCGCCAACGAGGACACAATGACCTGCGTCGCCGCGCTCAAGACTTACCTTTTCGCTTGTGTCCGCCCAATCCGTAACCACTTCTGCGGGAGAAGCGCCGACATCGCCAAAGAACGTGTACAACATCGCGTGCCGCGTCGCTCTGATCGTAGCTGCGCCACAATTTAAATAATTAATTTAGCACGCTCTGTTGCGAACTGGCTCTGACCCAAACTGAGACTCAACTCGCTCCTCGTGTTCGACCCCTGTGCGCAATACGCGCGCCTCGAACTGGAGGACACTCCTGCTGACGCAGAGCCCAGGACCAAACCGGTTGGCAAATTGATGCTGGAGCGCCGTTCGCAGCTAGTCGTGGCCACGCGTGCGCGCTTCGACTGCGTGCAGCTACGCGGCTGCCGCGACGTAGCCGTCTTTTTGCCGGCCTGCGTGCGCAGCGTGCTGTTGGATGACTGTCGCGACATCGCACTGGTCTGCGCAACGCGCCAACTGCGACTGAACCGCTGCGAAGAAACGTTTGTCGCGGGCAGCTGCGCCACGCCGCCCACGCTCGAGCGTTGCCGACGCGTGCGCCTCGAGGCGCTGAACTTGCAGGGCGCGGCGCCGATGAACAAAATGCAACAGTTCGCATTCGTCGAACTAGATCTGCTAGATGTGGACGAACGCTTCGGCGCGTCGGCGAGCGCCCGCGAAATTCACTGCGGCCTGCCCTGGGCGGCAAGCGCGCAGGCGGCGCTGTGCGCAGCATTCGCGGAGCAGCCCGCGAAATTAGACGTTATTAAATTGTTACAATGTCTCCCGTTAAATAATTTATTTAATTCAGAACCTAATAACTCCGCTATGAAGTAAGTTCGTTGGCGTCGCACGTAGAATTCCGAACATCCTCTGGGCCCAAAGAAAGAAGAGTCTGTTCGTCACTGTAGAGTCGACGCCAGAGCTCGAGGTCAACGTCGAGTTGGAGAGCAAGGCGCTCAAGTTACGCTTCAGCAAGAAAACCGAGCAGCAGGAGCTGGAATTGCCGCTGTTCGCGGAGATCGACGTCGAAAACAGTCGCTACACTAAGTCGCGCGGCGTCGTGATGTACATCACCAAGACCGTCGAAGAGTTCTGGCCCTCTTTGCTACCCGCCGGCGACAAACGCAGCTACATCAAGGTCGACTGGAGCCGCTGGGTCGACTCAGACGACGAAGACGAAGCCAAAGGCGACGACTTTGACATGAGCCAGTTCGGCGGCGGCAACTTCGATATGTCCAAGTTCGCCGAGCTTGCGAAAGGTGCAAACATGGGCGGCGGCATGCCCGACTTCGGCGCTGGCGCGGACGAGGCCGATCAAGACGAAGGCCAAGAGCCGTGCGATGAAACCTGCTGCTCCAGTGCATGCTGCGACAAAGACTGCTCCGAGCAGTGCCACTGCGAACCTGAGTGTCCTTGCGAAGGGAACAAGGCGCACTAACGCGCAGAGCCCCCAGTCCCTTTAGATAAGCGCAGGCTGTGTGTAAATTTCTGTTTGCAGAGTTTGCTGCATACGTGCAGTGCATGCAATCTTTTTGTTAAACATCGAGTCAAAAACCAACATGGGTAACACCGGATCTCACTGTTTGGACGACTATCTGAATGACTTAGCCACGTTCTTTCCCGGTTTGGAAGTCGAGCTCGAGGTAGGTGACGCGCCGCCGCTACACAGAATGCTTACAATGCCTGCACGGAAGACGGCAAGCTGTCAGAACAGATGCACTACGCGGACGTCGAGCCGATCATTCGGCACTTCCTGTTCAACGTCGGATTCGGCGAGTATTTGCTGCAGCTAACCGAGCCTGACGGGTCGCTGAGGCTTTCCGAAGTAGTGCCACTGTTCAAGAGCGTAGGCATCAAGCTGAGCCTCAACAAATCGCTCAGCCTAGACGACTGGAAGATTTTGATGCTCGCGTGGGTGCGCCGCATTCAAGAGCTGCAGCGCGACGAGATCAAAAACTGGTCCGACAAAATGAACGAAATGCAGCAGCGCCAGGAGCTCAAGCTGCAGGCCGCGCTGCGCGCATTCAAGGTAGGCTACATCAATCAGATGCAGACCTACTACGACGAAGTCTCGCGCAAAATCGAGCAGGAGTTCAAGCTGCGTCAAAAGTGGGAGCAGGACCAAAGTCTGCGCGCGAAGTTCTGCGAAGAACAAAGCGAGTACTGCAAGGAGATGACAGAAAAGTCTGCCGAAAACTACAAGCAGCGCGAAATGGCCACGCAGCGCGAGAAATTTATCAAGCTTATGCAAGAGCAAGCGCGGAAAACCTTCGTACAGCCGCTCGAAGGCGCCAAGCGCGTGTTCACCTACACGTATCCGGTGCTTCTCACCAAGGAAGGCGTGCCGCTCAGTGGTGGCTACCGCGGGCCTGCGATGCGTCCACGCTGCGTAAAGCACTAACTCGGAGAGCGCGCGCTCAAGCATCGACCGCCGTCTCCAGGTGCTCCTTCGTGCCCGTCAGTCCGAAAATTTCTTTCTCTTGTCGCACGTATAGCCCGCAGTCCGCCAGGTTCAGCACGGCAGTGCACTCGGGGCTCGCACTAGCTAGCGCAGCTGCCGCCTTCGCGAGCACTCCGAACCCCAGCGGCACATTCAGACTCGAAAACACCACGACTCCCTGGTTGCTCTCTGCGCCCTCCGTCACGCGCAGCACGAACCGCTTCTCGACGTGCTGGCCGTACAAAAAACTCGTCTCACCTTCTGGCTTCAGCCAGACCTTGAGCTGAACGTAGTGCGCCAAGTAATCCAGCGCCGTGATGTGCAACTTGAATTCGCCCTTTTTGCTGAATTTCCCCAAGTGCGTGCCAATTGAGTAGATCTGCTTGTGTGGCACACTCGAAGCTATCTTCAAAACCGCTGAAGGCACAATGAAGAGCCGCTCGCGGTGCAGCATTAACTTCTCGTCATCCAAGCGTGACTCAAACGCCGGCAGGTTGCCGCCGAGACTGCGTGCGCTACACTGCCACTTACTAGAGTCTCAACTTCGAGAAGACCTTTTCCCTTTCGCCCTCATTCAGCTCTCGCATTAAATTCTTGCTCTCTATAAAATTAAAAAGCCAACGAATATGGCCGGCCGATCGAGCTTGCTCGCCCTCGCTTCAGCACTCTGTTTGTTATTCGCTACGCTCTACGCGCGAACGCCGCTATTATCTGACGCGTAAGTGTTCACTGGCGCCACCCAGTCACCATAAAGCTTTCGCCTACGTACTCGGCTGCGGCGTGACCGTCTTGCTCACTACCCACGCCTGCGGCAGTCTCGTCGATTTGCACAAACTCAACTCGCACCGAAAAGTCTGCAGGTTTCTTAACGCTGCAGCTGACCGCGACTCGGTGTTCAATGCGCCGGTGAACCGCACCATTCGCTCCATCGCCTTCAGAAAACTTCTCGCAGAGCCCATCCGCTAACCGCTCAGTCCGCGCTCTGCTGCTTTCGGCGTTCCGCCTCGTTCTGTCGCTTTTGCGCACGGCTCGACTTCCACTCGACAAAGCTTGTTTTCCACTGCTGCTTATCAGGCGGAGGGAAGCAGTTGTGCTTCTGCTCACTCTTGTCGCACGGGATGCCCAGCAGCGTCGTGTACTGCCGCTCGTCGACAGAGTCCGTCAGCACCCCCTTCGCGCGCAGCTTCCGCTCTCGCTTCTCCCGCAGCAGCCCCTCAAATAGCAACGCGGGCTCGCTCTTCTCTGTCACGTTCGTGCCTGCGCGTAACAGCTTGCCTTTCTTGCTTTTCTCGTAAGGGCTTGGCATTTCCAAGTCTAGATCGAAGGCCTTCGCTAAATCTTCCATGTTCTTCACCATGCGCGTCTCTGTGGACGCAGCAGGCTCGCTAATATGCGTCGCCAACTCGAACTCTCGCTCGTTCCAGCTTGCTCCTTCCGACCGTTCTCTCGCCGAAGCCAAAACGCAAACCAGGAGCGCTCTGGAGATCTTCATGCAGCTTTATGTTATCACTAAAACGATTACAAACGAACACAAAAAATCACCTCGCTTTCGGACCGCGGTACGGCTCCCGCACTATATCTCCGTTCGTCTCTACGAATTTTCGGTGAATCACCGCAGGAATCTGTTCCACAATCTTCAGTTGGTCCATCGCGACGCGGTTCACGATCCACTTCGGAATAGCTTTAATCACAGGGTCTGCTTCGTTCACGTAGATCAGCCGCCAAATGCCGCTTGCGCGCTCCCGCTGCACGACAAACCCCGCGCAGCTTACGGCGCCTCGCACTGTGTTCCGCGTAGCGTTCTTATACCTTTCGAAGACGTCCGGCCGGTCCGCGTAGCTTTCTACGTCAATGTCGGCGGGTACCGAAGTTGTGCCAATTAGCAACTGCTCGCAGTCGCGTGTGTCTCTGCGCTGCTTCGCAATCACCAGCAAAAAGTCGCGCCCTGCAATTCCGAACCGCGACTTGAATACTTGAGACGTGACGTTCACATCTTGGTTCACTTCAAACATGCACTGCGTCGCACGCCACCGCACTTACCGCTATTTGGTCCGTGTACTTGTCATACGCACACTTCGTCTCTTCCAGCCACATCGCTTTCGCAAAAAAATCCATGTCTAGACGCGTTTCTTCGAACTTAAACTCCACGGTGCTACGGCCGAACAAGCCTTTCAACTTCGTCGCCTTTTTCTCGATGCACATGTTGCTTGTCTGCTGGTACAGTTCCCACGCAGGACTTTTGTCCAACGCAGTCTGATAGATCAAGTTCAACGCGTCGTTCCCCAAAGCGTTCAGACGTGCGTCTAGCTGCACCGGCCGTGGCACAAAGTACTTTCCGTTTTTCGCGTATTCAATGCCGTCCTCCGAGTCGCGCTCAACTTCTAGCTTGGCTCGCAGTTCGTCCAGCGTGCCGGTAATCACTTTGCCCGTCGGAAATTCACACGTGCAATACAACGAGGTGCAGTCTTCGCTATCCGCTTCTTCGTGCATAAAGGGCTCGACCGCAGTGTAATAAGCTTCTGTCACAATTGAGTCGTTGCTGCTGATAGCGGAGGACATCGACTTGACCGC